TTCTTTTACGGTCGCTATTTTCTCCTCTTGCTTGTACTACATTCCTCTCTCCTTTTTTATCCGAGTTCCTTCTTCTGATCCCATTTCTTAAGTTTATTCCCCCTTTTCTCCTTTTCCTCGCGACTCCTCTTGACCCTCCTTCCTTCACCTTCCCTCCGAGGTCAAGAAGCTTCGACCTTTCCAGGCAACCGCGTCGTCGAAAATGCTAATCGGCGAAAATAAGGGTCAATTTACGGGCGAATGTACGATACCCGCGCGACTCCAGGTATGAATTTTCATGAAAGTCAATCTATATGACCGCGGGCGAGCCATCAGGGCCGCTTAATTATTTCGAGCTCGGCGCCGGAGGAGGGCGGACGCAGCCCAACCTGAACCGGCGTCGGGCTGGTGGCGCTGCGCTCTCTTCTTATTTTATCTTCAGTTTCTATCTGTTCTGCCTCTCTCTCTCTCTCTCTCTCTCTCTCTCTCTCTCTCTCTCTCTCTCTCTCTCTCTCTCTCTCTCTCTCTCTCTCTCTCTCTCTCTCTCTCTCTCTCTCTCTCTCTCGACTATGGAAAGCTGGAAGATATGGACTGTCTCCTTATAGCTTGGCCATTTATAACTGTTCTTTTTCCTCTGCCTTTTCTTCGCATTTACCCATAAACGGAAGCGACCCACCTGGTCTGGTTGGTTCTTTACCGACCTGGAAAGCCATTTAAGAAAGTGGAATCGAAGTCATCAGTCTTCGTCCGATCAGCGATGGGTATTCTAATTGGTAATAGGAAATCATCAAAATGCGAAACGAGGCCAACTACACGATCACACGCCGAGCCGAGTGTGACGAATATGTGTAGCTGGAAATAGATATTAGGGGCGCAATTATCTCCCTAATTTCTATATTCAGTGCAACGGACGGGATACCGGAGTAGATTATGGAGATGCTGGACCTCTAGCCGTGATTAATGTCCAGCAAGATGACAGGTGGACATTGATCATGGGAAAGACAAAACGGCGAGCGGTATGGTCGGTTGCTTCGTAGGACTCTTTAGGATTTTCGCCTGAAGTAACGTGGTTCCCGGTGATGATAGGTGGTCTGAGAGTGGTTGCTGGAGGACCTACTTGTGTGATTCACTTGTTGGTTATTATGTTTGTTACATCGTTCTTATTAAAGGCTATGCTATATTTTTCCGTGTGCTTAAAGGGAATAATCAGATGTATTCATCGTTGAGTGTTGGTCAGAATGTTCAGTTTGTTTATTTTGGAAGTATAATTTTCAATTCTAATAATTCTAGTAGGGGGGGCAGCTAGGTTAGGTAACCATCCATCTCCCTTTATTAGTAACGCTTTCCATATTCACACGAGATCTCTGGAAACAGGAAGAAAAACGACACAAGAAGAAAAGTAAATCGAAAGTCTTCTGAGAAAAAACAAAAACAAAATGAAAACGAATCTCCAACGTAGAAAAAGAACCATCGATTCAGCCCTGCATCACACCATGGAAACTCCTTCATCGCAGTCTGCCTGTGGATCTGTCTTTTTCTGCTTTGCTGCCGGATATTTTATGTGAAGGACGGCAGTAGAGAGAAAGAGATAGATTTCCTGGGACAGTAAACAACGAGGACTTGATGTGTGTGGATTTTTTTTGAAAGGCCTGGATATTTTGAAGACCAACTCTGCATATTTATTTTGAAATGCTTTTTTTGACATAGTTTTCCTCTGTATTTTACTTTTTTCTTTACATTTTTTCTTATTTTGTCCCAATGTATTTTCTTTTTAAGGCCAAACGACATTTTTGTTTTGCATTCATCACGTTCTTTCCTTTGTTGTTTATCATAATATAGTCGTACTCTTAGTGTTATACTTGGCTGCTGCTTGGTACTGAACTATTCGTCAAAACAGGGTCGAGACTCTTTACCATGAAAAGATGTGCACCAAGCTTTTTGTTATAAAGTTCTTACTATTTTCATGCAATAAGTTCCTTGTGATTCAGAACGGACAAGTAAAAAGCTAGAAGAGTATAGGAACATATTACAAATGATAGATGGCATGGTAGAAAATACGGTGCAGACAGCACGATAAAGACTTAATAAATCGTTATCGCATGAAAAATAAGTGATTGTGATTATTATATTATATATATATATATATATATATATATATATATATATATATATGTGTGTGTGTGTGTGTGTGTGTGTGTGTGTGTGTGTGTGTGTGTGTGTGTGTGTGTGTGTGTGTGTGTGTGTGTAATACATATTATATATATATATATATATATTATATATATATATTATATATATATATATATATATATATAGATAAGATAGATAGATAGATAGATAGATAGATAGGTATAAATGTTAATTATTAATGGATCAAAGGCTTTTTTCATTCATCATGAATTTAGACATATGCTATATCACCAATTAATCTAATTTGACCGCTAAGGGACAGAGATCACAGGCCAAGTGTCCCCTCGATAGCAAATTCCAAAGAAGACGAAGTGGAGCGGCCGAGTTATCA